AATGCCTTGAGCAATTTCAACCAAACTTAATACACAGATGACTTATTCTCTGGAAACAAATACTGGGGTGGAGGGAGGGGGGGAGACCTCCCTAAAACTCCTCGGGGTGTGTGTTCTGTTAAGATACAGCCTGTTGTGCCTTAAAATGGCTTCCACTGCACAGCGCTGTGGAGTTGCCATGGTAATGGCTTCACAGTACTCCCCAAGGGGGTTCCCTCTGGTAAGGGGGAAAATCCAACATTAGAAATTACGTTTCGTCCGAAGAGTTTCCCCCTAAAAATAAACACCCAGGTAACGCCAGGTTATTGGCTAATAAATAAATAATATTTATTTGTTTGTTTGTTTATTTATTTATAAAATTTATAATAAATAACAGTATGTAACAGTTAACATTTGACAAGAGGCAAGATGATTAAAGGTTAAAAATTAATTGAAAGGCAAAAGGAGGCCTTTTAGGGTGCTAACCAGCCCATAGCTCTGTGTTTCTCTGCACTTCCCATGCCATACAACCATGTTTTTACATCTTTCTGGAAGGCCAGGGGAATGAGGTCCTGCCTCATTTTGGGGGTGGGGGTGGGAGTATTCCACAGGGAAGGGAGAACAGAAAAGAAGTCTCTCTTCCTGGACCTCTTTCTCATAATTCCTAAACTGGCAGGGTCTGCAATACACCCTGCCTGATCAGGTGGGACGGGCTGCTGTAATGGAAAGAAGAGGGTTCAAAAGTATGAGCTAGCAGTGTGCAACGGCAGTCAAAAAAGGCCAATGTAATCCTACATTGCATTAACAGAGGGATAGAATCAAGATCACATGAAGTGTTGATACCACTTTATAATGCCTTGGGAAGGCCACACTTGGAATACAACATTCAGTGTTGGTCACCACACTATAAAAGATGTGGAGACTCTAGAAAAAGTGCAGAGAAGAGCAACAAGGATGATTAGGGGACATATGAAGAACGGTTGGGTTTGTCTAGTTTAATAAAAAGAAGGACTAGAAGGGACATGATAGCAATCTTCCAATATCTCAGGGGTTGCCACAAAGAAGAGGGAGTCAAGCTATTCTCCAAAACACCTGAAGGCCAGACATGGAATAATGGATGGAAACCGACCAAGGAGAGATTCAACAAAAAGGAGAAATTTTCTGAAAGTGAGAACAATCAATCAATAGAACAGAAGTTGCCTTCAGAAGTTGTGGGAGCTTCATCACTGGAAGTTTTTAAGAAGAGACTGGACAGCCACCTGTTTGAAATGGTAAATAGGTTGGACTAGAAGACCTCCAGGGTCCCTCCCTGCTCTATTCTGATTGAATTGAATTTGGAATGTCCCAGATGGAAAGAGCTGCCCAATTCTTGGTATTTTTCCAATAACCAAAATGGAGCTCATTCCACCCCACCCCACCCCTCAAACAACCACATCAAAGAATGCGACTCAAGATTCCTCACTCACCTATTATTTCTATGTGCATGTAACTGTCCATCGGAAGAGGCAGCGATAAGAAGTTAAAAGGGTCGAAACGAACACTGATGTGCCCACAGGTCTTGCATTTCACCTGAGACCTCAGCTGCCCGTGAAACAGATCGACCACAATCGAGCGGTTCCTTCTCAAATGGTTCTCCCAGGCCTGAAACGAAAGGAAAGGGGAGATCAAATCAAATAAAACCTTTGCAGGAAACTGAGCAAACGGAACAAAAAGGTTCAACTGAAAACTTTAGAAGATGGGTTGAAATCGGGTCCTATCACAGGGAGGGAAATTCATT